TTCCTCTTTCTCTTCTTCCTCCTCTTCTTTCTCTCTCTCTCTCGCTCTGTTTCTTTTTTTCTTTTTAATTCTCCGCAACGCAGTAATATATGTATAGTAGCAATCGTTTCCTCATCTCGTTCTCATAATCGTTAGCTCATCTCACTCCGTTACATAATCCGCGCACGCTTATCACTCATTCATTCTTGTTTTTTTTTTTTTAGGAACAGCTAGTAGCGAGGTTCGGTTACTCTATCACGCAATCTCCCGTACTCGAAACTCAAAACGCCAAAACCGACGCGCCGGTTTTGCGTACACGCGCACGTACGTAGCCGCGTTTTGAGAGTCACGCTCGTATGCGACGTGTAACTCTCCGAGTTCATACATAAAATTCGATTTTAGAGTCGCGCGCGCGCGCGCATGTTGTGTGCTGTGTGTGTGCTTTGCATGTATGTGTCTGTGTGTGTGTGTGTGTGTGTCGAATTGCATGTGCTTGATGATTCGTGTCAACGCATATTGTACGATCCTTATTGACGACAACGGATCGCCTTTTTCTCATCTCTCTCTCCCTCTCTCTCCTTCCCCTTCTCTCTCTCTCTCTCTCTCTCTCTCTCTCCCCCCCCCCTCTCTCTCTCTATCTCTTTTTCTTTCTCGCGAGCGGATTCGAAAAACTAAGATCGCGACCTCTTGTGCGTTGAAGACACGGTACACGCGTGTAGAAAATCGCGGTGAAGAAAAATGCGAATTTCACTTTTCTCTCTCTTCCTCTCGCAATCTTAGAGACCCCCGGCTTGGGTCGTCGCGCTTTCATCTCCTTTTCTTTTTCCTTCGACTTTCGGAACATCGTACTCGTGGTAGTGATGGGGTTTTGTATTGTTTGCGGTGATCCCGAAGATCGGCACGGATTTGCAGCCGTCGAACGCGTGCGAGTCCGCGACGATCGCCTTAATTAAATCGCACGAGATCGGTCGCACCCGTTTTTTAATTGTCTTATTCTGCGAGGTATTGGTTTTTTACACGAAAAGAGATTTCGTTTCGTTTTCCTTTTTTTCTTTCTTTTTTTTTTTGTTTGTTTGCCCGGCACATGTCCTGTAAAAGAGGATCGTGCCGGTCGGAAAGACGATCGGCTGAAAATTTCGATATTAGCAATTCGGTTAACTGTGTTTCTCCTAGTGTGTGGCTGGGTGTATGTGTATGTGTGTTGATTTATTTACTTGCGTTTGTGTGTGCGTGTACTCGCGTGTTTGTTGAAACGTGTACGTGTGTTAAATGTACGCTAGTTCAACGCTGTAACGTTTATATAGATAATAATCAATACATGACCACATACATGTAAATATAATATCGTAATCTATAATCATAATAATAATAATAATTCAAATATAATATTAATAATCGTCGTTACCAACGTTACGTTAGAAAAAGCATCTTTTGCAGACAGGAACCTCGAGTTACTTAGTACCTTAGAAATAGTTATTACTTCGTTCGTTTGATCTCAACGACCACGTGTTAAACACCCCCGAGTCTCAGACCCCTCCCCCCGCGCACCCTCCCCGCCCTCTCGAGCTCCCGTGAAATCCCGGAGACAAACGCGCCTATTCATCGGTGCTCTTTCTCCCATCAACTCCGCTCCTTATCATTCTCCTTCGTTTCTCGGTATACCCAGATATTTTTTCCTCGTCCCTTTTTTCTTTTGTTTCGTTTAGCCTAATGAGATTCGCGCAAAACTCGACGAAACGTGGCGCGTAAAACGCCGCGCGTCTTCGGTTTTCCGTTTCGCTTGTCCTTCATCGTTCCTCTATTTCGCAACTTCCGGTGGCACTTCCGGCATCCCTCATTTTCCGCATACGCCCCGTCTTACTACATGCGCGAACTTTCGTCTCTTCGTGCGCGCTACCCAGAGCGCTACCAGAGCGAGGAACACGACGTACGTACGCGTGTAGACACGTCACCGTTCCGGATTCGTAGTATTCGTGAGGATTCTAGTACGTCATATCATATATATACATACATATATATATATGTATATATGTATATGTATATGTATATATATATTTATCTATTTAAATATATATATATATATATTCCTCTTATTTATTCACCTTTTATTCATTTATTTATATATATATACTTCTTTTCACATGTGTATATATATATATATATATATATATCCCTATGCGTGTGAGAAAAATGTGTGTGTGCCTTCGTGTGCCTACGCATCGTCCCCGGCGACACGCATGTCCTCCCCCTTTCCCCCTTATACTCTACGGTTTAGTCGTTATTTATTTGTAACTTACCTAATAGTGAATTCTTTGTCGTTCTCGATTTTACACGCGATTTTCCCCTTGCTGTCGCCGATCGAGAGGTCGGATCTTTCTTTCGCCTACCTTCAGCAACCTGCGGCCCGAGTCGATGTAAGAAAAGAATCGTCGTCGTGTCTCGAAAACCTCCTTCTCCGGGACGCGGCGCGAGCCGAGCGATCGGCTGAACGTTCGTGTGTTTCTTTCTTTTCTCTGGCGGATCTTTCTCTCGCGGATCTCTCCGGCTCTAATCGCGAGTCCAAAAATTTCGCCCTCCGCGCGCTTCTTTCATGTCCGCGTTCTCTCCCGCGGCGAGACGGAGAAGAGAAAGGTCGGAGAACACGGAGGTCGGATACTGTCCCTTTGATAGTACCGGGTCGCCCCTTTCCCCCTTGCCCCCTTCTACGCTCGAGTGTCGATGTGTTGCCGATCGGTTGCGTTTCGAACTCGTCGAGCATTGCTAGCGATAATCACGTTACAGCTACCGACAGCTCTCTAAATGCCTATCGTTATTACTATCGTTACATTATTATTACCTCCATTACCTTACTTTAGTAGTATTATTACTCTATATCATCATTATTATTAATATTAATATTATTATTATCATTAATATTATTACTAGGTCATTTGTTTAGCGTTATTAAATATAATTTATTAAATATAGGAACCATGTGTTTCTGGGTCTTGCTTGCTCGTTCGCGCACGCGAGTCGTGTCGCCGACGGCCGACGGGGGTTAATCGCCGCTTCCATGCACCGCGCGTCGCGCGTATCTCCCTTCTTAGTCCGCTTAGTCTCATTACGTTGTCATTCTCTTCTTCTCCTTCTTCTTCTTCGGTCGAATCGCGGGAAATGAAGGACGCGCTCTTACAACGAGAACAAAAAACGAAGAAGAAGAAACATGAAAGAAAACGCACGTCTCCAACATCTCCCGGCTGCGGAGTCTTGTGCCCGGTACATAAGCGTGTATACGTGTACGATGTATGTGTGCGTGTGAGTGAAAAAGTGACAGAGAAATTGTATGTGTGTTGCGTGCATGTGTGTGTATGGAATGTGTGCGTGTGCGTGCGTGCGTGCGTGCGTGCGTGCGTGCGTACGTGTGTGTGTGTGTGTGTGTGTATGTGTGTGTGTGTGTGTGTATACGGTTCTTAAATTTTCCGTCACTGCTCGTCGTTTCCGCGCAAGTCGCGGACATCTTCATCTCGTTTGTGACAAATACAAAGATAATGTCCCTCTTCGCTTCTGTCTCTTTTACTCCACGATCGCCGTCAAAGTCGCTGAACGATCCGCCCTTTCGACACACGCGCGCGCGCGCGCACACACATACCCACACACACCCAGTACACACACACATACACGCGCGCACACCACGCAGTATACACACACACACACAACGCACACGCACATGCACGCGCACAAAACAGAGACACACACGCACGTACGCGCACGCATACACACAGATCCACGTGGAGAGCCACGTGCACACGCGCGTCAAAACGAGAAAGAGAGTGATAGAGAGAGACAGTCAGATATCTATATATATGTATATATATATATAGATGTATGTATGTATGTATATATATATATATATGAATATGTACGTACGTATTCGTAACGATGGCGGCGTTTTCAGTTTCGCGCGCCGCGCATCACAACTACCCTACTGCGCCGCGCCTAGTCAGCGTGTGTCCGCTTGCTTCCACCTTGCGTATCCGTTTTTCTTTTTTTTTTTCTTTCTCTCTCTCTCTCCCTTCTGTTTGCGTCTCCTCCGCCTTTGTAGTAACTCTGTTTTAAATCTTTATTATTACTTTACATAGGAACGTTTAAGTTAGCCCACCTCGACGCGCTCGTCGTTCCGCGTCGTCGACGCACTTTCCCTCCGGAACTCGCCGTCTTTCCCTCCCTCCCCTGTCAACGTACCGCGCGCATCGCTCCCAGACATGCACTATGCCAAATGATCGGCCCGACCGACCGACCGAGCGACAACCGGTTGTTCTTCTTCGGCTGGCTGGGAAAGGAGGATTTTCCGAACGCGCGCTCGTTCGAGCTCCCCCCTCCCGGGACGATTCCATCACTTGTCCCTACGCTCGTCTTCATCGAGTCTCACTGTCTTTTTTCGCCTCTCTCCCTCACCTCACCCTTTATTATTTATTTATTACCCCTTCTTCTCTTTCTCCCTTCGCCTGCCTCCTTCCCTTCTTTCTTTCGTGCTACGAGAGGAACTTTGGAGAGCGCGCAACTCTCTTCACGGCGCGCGCCGTGCGCGGGATTCGCGTTACAAAAATAATAGGCGAATCGGGGGCGGGGGCCCGGAAGGGCTGGGAAGAGGCGGCGACGGGGAAGGGGGGTGGTTCGTTTAACTGGTAACGCGGCAGTGGCGGTGCGCAAACGACGACATTTGACAGCGAGTGAGAGCGAGAGTGTGAGGGACCGAGGGAGAGTGAGAAAGAAAGGAAGAAAGAAAGAGAGAGAGAGAGAGAGAGAGAGAGAGAGAGAGAGAGAGAGAGAGAGAAAGAGAGGATGGACGATGTGATCAAAACGCGCATTCTCTGATTGTGGTCTCTCGCGATCGTGGTCCACCGTTCGCGCAATTCGCGCCTTCCTTCTCCTCCTCCTCCTCCTCCTCCTCCTCTTCCTCCTCCTCCTTCTTCTCCTTCTTTTCCTCCCCCTCCTTCTCCTCCTCTTCCTCCACCTGCTCCACCACCCCCACCTCTCCCCCGTCCCCTCTCCACCGCCGCGGGGTAAATGCACAAACCCGGCGACGGGGTGTGCTGGCCCCGAAAAGTCCGCGGTGGAGAACCCGACGTGTGCACCCGACGATCTCCCTCCACCGAGGTGTACACCCGTGCTCCCCCGTTCATCGCCGGTTAGGAACATTGCTCGTCCATTGCGAGGTCCTCGAGTCCGATCTCCTCCAAGCGACATTCGTCGGCCGCTGGTCTCTCCGTCGTCGTGCAGCCTCCCTCTTCCACCTTCTCCCTGTATCTTCCACGCTCGTTCCGCTTCGTCCTCTGCTTCGTCAGCGGCTCCTGCTCCAGCACCCGCTCGCCTGTGCCGTCTCGGCCCTTGTCTCGCCCGAGTAAGACGACAGAACACACCGACCAAGCCCTGAGCACTCGGCGATCCTCGGGCTGTGCCTAACGCGCCCCTGCGAGGGCGGCGACTTCCTGCACCAGCTTCTGCCGCTTGACGTCGGGACTGTTGTTGTTGTCTTGGCTGGTCTTCTCGCCGCCGCCGCCGGCCTGAGGCTGATGGCCGGTGGTGCTCTCGGCGGCGGCGCGCGCCGCCAGCAGGGTGATCTGATTGACGACGTCCTCCATCTCGTCGGTCAGCGGGTTCGTCTCCTCGCCGGATTGCGCGCCGCCGTCCATGCTGGCGAATTGCTGTTGTTGCTGCTGCTGCTGCTGCTGCTGGCGCTCTTGGACGGCCTCGAGACGCGCGCGATGCTGCAGCGTCTCGGCGTGGCGACGCCACTCGCTCACGCTGGCGTAGGTGCGCGTCGGCACGCCGGGCTCGCACAGCGAGCAGGCGTAGCGGGCCTGCACGAGGCGCAGGGCGCCGCGACGTTGCTGATTGCCCAGGTAGCAGGAGCGCTGGTGCGCCAGCAGCGACGACTCCTGCGGGTACGCCCTGCTGCAACGGCGGCACACCAGGCACAGCTCGGTTTCCACCTCGCGGCAGTGCTGCTGCGGCCCGCTCTCGTCGGCGCCGCACTGCGCCGGGCTCGGCAGACGGACCGTCTCCAGGCCGGGGTGGTTCGGGTCTTGCTGTAGGAACGCCTGCATCAGGGACCGCGGCACTTGCACCTGCGAGCCACCCTCCACGTGCAGCGGCATCAGACCGCTTCCGAGTAGGCCAGCGCTCAAGCCCGCAGCCGCTACTGAAAGCAAAGCGTCGTGGATTCGAGTTAGAATTCGTCATGGCTCTCGGGAGGCAGAGCCGTTCGGACGACATATCGCGCAGTTTCATTACTGTTACTCTGCGAGAGATGCAAGAACGAGAGCGGCCGAAAGTTCAACACTATCTCGCCGCGCTGAAGCTTATTTTAGCGGCTCGCTCTTTCCAGCTCGACTGTTTTCGACACTTGTTTCGTTCTAACGGCAAAAGGTGCCACCTAGTTCGGCTGAAAGGAACGCGCCTAGGAGTGCATTTTTATACTCAAGGTCTGTCTGAGAAGCGCTGTCGCTTGCCTCGTAAGGAGCGGAATCGTCGAGCTCCTCAGGACCCACTCGAAGGGTCCAGTTGGCATCGCGCGAGTCGCGCCGTAAAGTCCTTACGTCGCTTTCGTTTCGATATCGACAGAGCGCCATTTGCTTCGGCGATTCTATCGCATCGAAAATTTGGGTTTGTTTGCATTGCTGTTCAACTAGATTTATAGTCACTGGTCGAGAACAAGCGCGAGTTAGCACGGAACAGCCGTTCGCAACCACGGCAGTGGTCTGCTCTCGAACTGGTTTACGAATTGACGATGAGCACCGCGATACGATGTACAATTTAACATCCACACACATTCCAAATTCACCCGACTCCGGCGGGGGCGAGATGGCGCGGCTAGATGGCACATTCGTGCGTAATTGATTTGTGCCAACTTAGTTGTCATAATAGCACCCCCGACGTAACCGGGGGAGAATTTATGCGGAACCTGTTTTTGCCCGAGCGAGACAGGTAAATTGGTAGTTATTAGAGCTGGCCTGCGGGCCGATGCGCATTGACGGGATAATTCCTGCGGCCGTCTCTCGAGAAAGAGAGAGAAAGACAGAGAGAGAGAGAGAGAGAGAGAGAGAGAGAGAGAGAGAGGGGGGGGGAGATGGGGAGGAGGGAGAAGCCGCAGGACTCGATACCAAAGTCCGTGTATCGTGAGGCTCCTCCTGACGCCTCGGCGAATGATTAATTCTAATTTCAGGATCACGCGCCACGCTGGAGAGGCGCGGCACAGGAGGGAGGGGAGGGGGGGGAGGAGAAGCCGCTCGCTCGCTCGCTCGCTCTGCCTTCTTTTTTCAATCGATGAAAAAATCGCCTACCAGGTAGGCGGTCGATGGAAAATCGAATGGACTAGTCTGACCAGCGCGGCGCGGCGCGGCGTCTAATCGGGATCCGTGATGCAATCGACGGCCGCTAGGTGGACCGGGGAAGAGGACGCGCGCTCGCGCGCGCGCGCGCGAGCGAGCGAGCGCAGGCGGTCGTTTCGCCGTCGATTAGGTGGGTTGACAGGTTTACGCAGTGACGCGCACGACTATATCGCGCGTATCGTGTATCAGATGAGGAGTCGTTACGAGGCAGGAAGTGTTAATGATACCCCTGCTCATTCACTGGACGCTCGGCTGTAATTATCAGAGCTGGTGGGGCGCGAGGAAGCCTCGGTGAGGAGAGCGCAGCTCGGCTGTTGTTCTCTCTCTCTCTCTCTCTCTTTCTCTCTCTTCCTCTCCCGCCCTCTCTCTCTATCTCTTTCTCCCTCGTTCTTGCGGCTCGTCCTCTCGACGTCGGCGTGGAATTGATAGTTATTAGACAGCGGGGTCGGGGGGAGAGCGCGGGGCCCGGTTCGCGGCAACGACTGCGTTCCCTCTTTGTCGTCTAATGAGAACCCCTGACACGCACGGCAATCCACTGTTTGACTAACACTTCTCTTTCTCTCTCTTTCTCTTCTCGCCCCCCCCCCCCCGCTCTCTCTCTCTCTCTCTCTCTCTCTCTCTTTCACCTCTCTGTCTCTTCCTCACAGCTCCGCCGTTTCCTCGCACTCCTTCGCTCTCTCGCGTATTTCGCGCTCGCGTGGATTATGGTTTACCTCGATCGGGCGAGCAAATAATCCGCGTTTTTATGTTCCGCCATCGAAAGGGCCCTTCTCGGAACGAGGAGGCACGGTCGTGTAGTAAAGAAGGGAGAAAAGTGTTACGGATAAATGGGGGATTAGCGCAACAACATTGGCCACGGTGTATAGTTCTGGTCGCTCTTCTGCTCCCCTTACGGCCTCCGTGGCGCGTTCGCGGGAATGCGGCAAATTCATTACGACGACGGTGCCCGCGTCTCGAGCACGCTCGCGTCCGCTTCGCGGTATCGGCGCGCAGGCAGCGCGTCCGCTCTTCTTGTCTGATATAATCGGCTGAATAATGATCGCCGCGCGCCCGCGTCGCAAATAACGCCCCGCGCCGCTCCGTGCCGACGCGGACGGGCATTATTGTGGAATTAGAATATCGCGCGCGACGGTTTGAGCGAAGGGCAAAAATGACGGCCCATTGCTCAAGTTTAACTTAATCCACGCGGACGAGCGTGGTGCCACCATTTTTTATTTATCCCGCGGTCTCAGCGCTGCGCAAACTGTCTCCTCCTCGTGAAACTCCGCCGGACTAACTTTGCGCAAAGTGACTTGGTCGCCGTTCATCGCAACGTCGTCGGTTACACGCGCATTTTTGCGCACCCGTCAACGTTTCCGCGACATCTCGTTAGAATTTCCTTCCCCCACGATTTCTCCAGGCCCATTCTTACTTCAGATATGGATTTTCTGTCGAGAATCGAAATGTGGACATTCGCCGTGGTAATTCGCCGGTTTCTCGTATAAATCGGATATCTTCGATTGCCGATCGTTCGCGCATCGAAAGTTTGCACGGTTCGAAAAGTGTGCGTCCCGGAACACAAGGTCACGTTTCGAGTTCGAGCAAGTTCATTGAGCATTGTTATGCTTTTTTATCATCGCTCTATCGTCGCGTGAAGCGTAACTTTGTGCGGTATAACTCGGTCGGAAGAAACGGGACTTGCTCAACGATATGATCTCTTTAGCCGATAGACTTCTTCCTTCCAAGGTCGCCGTCGGCCCTCCGCCGCGCGCGTGAGAGAGAGAGAGAGAGAGAGAGAGAGTCCGAGCGAAGATATAATATAATAAAGAAGATCGTTAAGCAACGCGCAGCGTCGCAGCCGGACGATCCGTGTGACACCCTTGAAACAATCGAAACGGTTGAGGAGAGGGATTATTACTCTTAATGAGCACTGGTTATTTCTTTGAGTGGCTTTGATTTGCCCTCCCTTCCGTCCTCCGGTACCTCCGACATCCTCGACAGAGCCAAGAGAGCTGCGTTGTGTGTGCTTCGCACATGCGTATGCGCAATAAAATCGTCGGATTCTTTCTCCCTCTTCCCCCTCCCCCTCTCTCTCTCTCTCTCTCTCTTTCTCTCGGGATGGAGGACCTTTCCGGAAAGCCTTAGTTACCTGAGGAAAAAACAGATCGGTCGAATCGACGTGATGATGCATGAATCGAAGGCGTTTCGCTGAAAGGAGACGGAATTTTTCTGCTTCTCAGAGCGGACTCTGAGCAAATTTTGACTTGTCACGTCGATTCCACTAACTTATGCTACCCCGTGCGGGAAATTCTCCCGTTGGCTGTGTTTTGAGTCCCGACGGAAAACGAAAAACCGTCCCGTCCGGGACGGAGGACTAGCGCGATCGAAGCCGCGCGTCGAAGTCCGTGGAGAAATCGCGTGCCGCTACACGCGCGCGAGCGCATCATCACTTTTGTCTCGTCCTCTCACGGAGAGGCTCATTTGCGTACGGATTGAGATAGTAGTGCTTCGGTGCCGTCCCAATGTGTGTTTTCGTTCAAATGTGTGACCGCGTACGAGTGCGCGGGATTCTGATTGCCGGCCGCTCCCAAGTCCGCAGTGATCGTCATCGCGCTCGCGCGCGACTCGGCCTCTCATTACTTCATTTCGGTTACGCCGCGGTTACACTTTAATCCTTAGCGCTCGGAATTGCCCCGGCCGTGGTCATCAGTGGAGAGCGAGCGCGTGCTCGCGGGCGAGTATAATAATGCGCATATAGCAGTTTGCGCTGCGATATATTAATTTCCCTCGTGTCTTTATAGCTGAGATAGTTCGCGCGCGCGCGCGCGCGATCAGTTCGGTCGAACGATCGGGCGATTCATGCGCCGACGAGCACGCGCGTCTATTATTATTGGCTCTAGAATTATTGTCTGGCAAATTGTTGTGTCTGTCATACCGATAATGGGCCATTTGGATGCGCCTCGCGCTAAATCGATCGTCTCACTCGCTCGTTGCAGGTCTCCGAGAAGTCTCTCGCCGAGAGGGATGCTCCAGGTGTGAGAACCGCTGATACCGAGATTGCCGCGACACATGCTGGAAATTTGTTCGGCGGGAATTTACGAGCGAGTTTCCGTGTCAGACCCAATACCGTGGTCGTCGTTGGTAAGTAGGTATAGCTCTGTATATATCCCGCCGGCCGTAAACTCGCAGTCGAGGACCGGCGAGCAGAATAATCGAGAGAACGTCGTTAGTTAGCGCGTTCAGGAATTTTAACGGCTGTTCGGGAGGCGCGCGCGGAAAAACGCAATTCGTCATACGCGTCGCCGTGGCCGTTCGAAGTAGCACGTCGCCGTCGAATGACGGTCACTTCGCGATCGTGGGGAGAATCGACTATGCCGGAACCGTTTCGCGAGCTCGTCGCGAGGCTCTCTCGGCGGTCTCGGCGCGGAGATCGTTCAACCGAACCGACGAAATTATGACGCGACGAAAGCTGTCGCGCGAAAGGCGCCGCGCCGGATATTTCCGGATATTTTCAAACATTTTCGTCCAAACATATTTCCAACATATTCGAATGAAGTTTAGGTATTCAGAGACATTTCGATTACACAGAAGAGGCAAGGAAGAAATTCCTGCTCGCGAAAGTATACCTTTGATTTATCGACATGCACTTGTCGGAGGGCTGGCGAGTCCCGCGAGTCGCCCTCGCTCATTTAGATCTGCTTACGCGGGTAATGAATGGCAAATATGTCGGTGTCGTCGAGCGAGTGTCCTCTTATCATTATCTCATTCGCGCTAAGAGGAGCTGACGCGTCGTGACGCGCAGGAGCGAGAGAAAGAGAGAGAGAGAGAGAGA